AAAGAGCCGGGAGCACTGGGCATTGAATCTGCTCCTGCCTCTCACTAGCTGTGCTTTGCTAAGAGGGAAGAGGGAGCGGTAGGATGTGCCCAGACCTCACAGAACATGTCCTCCGGCTCTTACATGGGCCACAGACCTTGAGCATCTCTTGCCCGAGGGCTCTCTGGGGCCTTAGGAGACCTGTCATGATCCCGGGTTGGCCCAGATTTTCCTGACAGCACACAGGGCATCAGGAGCTGCCTTTAGGGTGGGTCTTAGATACAAAGGATCCCTAAAGCGATAGAGGTGGCCAGAGCCCCAGAGGTTCTCCAAACAATCCCCTCCCTCTGCACATGGGGAAACTGAGGTATGAGAGGAAGTGACCTGTTCAAAGACCCCGAGTGGATCAGGAACAGACTGGAGATTTGATCTCAGACATCCTAACTCCCAACCAGCAGGGATATGGGGGCAGAGAGCACAATTTTGTATCATTCGAGTTAAATTTTTCTTCGGGATGCACAGTGCTGTCACCCCAACCCCAGCAGACCTCCAGAAGAGAGAGGGAGCCCCCACAGACGACATTACCTTCCGACTGCAGGCCTTGCCATATCTCAGATCGGTGACAAAGTGCTCACAGTTCCTTCTCAGAACACTGTACTCCATCTCCTTACCAACCATCTCCTTCGCAGATCTGAGCATCTCATGTACGGGCCGTGGTTTGTACAGGTGGTCCAAGTGGTTGTTGACCTTAAAGGAGCAGTTTTCTAAAACCTCCACCAGGAGTTGCCTTTTCACCTCCCCTAAGCCGGTGGGGGCGCCAGCCTCAGAGTTCTCCCCTGGAATCAGACACAGGAGTATCAGGAACTGCAGGGGAGGCCAGGGAGGGAGAGAGAAGACACAAGACAGGGAAGAAGGGCCAGGGGATCACACTATTGAGCCTTGGTGCCTGTCCCTTCACCAATGTGATTGGAGCATTCATGGATTTTATCTTTTTATTAAATGAGCTGTGAATACTTTTCAAGCTAATGAACATTCTGATGGTCAGTGGCTGTGATTGTGCTCCATGATATTAATGGACATCGTCTAGCTGACCATCCACCGTCACTGACCCTTCTCTTTTATGAGACTGTGGGCCCCCAGAGACGCTGCTCGTTTAGGGAAGTCTGTCTGCGCACCCAGCAAAAGGGCCAGAGCTGGAGAGCATCCAATGTGGCCCCAGCCCAGTTTCCCTGGGGCCCACG